CATTCTATGGACTACATTATCAACCGCCTACGCGAAGAGGGATCGTCGAAATCTAAGCTCTCTCGTGTTGAAAAGAGCGACCTTCGTAATATTGCAAAGAAATACAACGTAACACCACTACGGGAGCCTAACGATGGCTATAAATCATCGCAAATTCAGTTCGAGGACAACGAATCTGATGGTGGAACTCAGTATTTGGAGCCACCCGAAGGTTAGTGTGAGAAAAGGGCCGTATTACTATAACATCAGTGTGAAGTGAGTAAGTCATGCTTCGAAGATCACGTGGGATAGCGTGATTCGTATGTGACATCTGTCCATGTGAACCATCTTTTTTTAACCCATGCGTGACTCCTTTTCGAATTTTGCAGTGTTTGTTCCAAAGCTCATATTTCGGTGCACACATGTAAGATGTTGTCCACGGAGTGGTTTATCACGTCCTAGTCCAGAGGTGGTTCCAATGCCCTTTCGACTTTTCCACTACCATAGCAAGCAAATAAAGTTACGGGATGAATACGGGGGAGTTTTGAAACTATGGATAACACTAGTTGTTTTTTGTTGAAGCTGTTGGTGCAGAACATGTGTCACCACGGAGCCGCAGTCCGGGGATCAAATCCATGCTATTCAGCCAGACGAACAAACCCTTCTTTCTGGCTAATTGGTATAATTCTTCTCGATGACAAAAACGCTCGCTTAGGCATTTGCTAACCCCAGCAACCCACTTTCTAGGCAAAATCGTATTCGTGCCTCTGCTATCCTAAACTGAAGCAAACTGTACTTCCAAGAGGTGTTGCATAACATCATGTGCCTTATTTCTTTGATCTCTAGGGACAGAAATGTTTTCACATGCAGCAGCGGTCAAAGGTATTCACTGGCTGTTTGAGGACACTGTGGGTGTGGTTCACTAGGACAGAAAGCGACTTTTTCGCGTTTCGCAGCGCGAAACATTTTTCGCTGCGGAACCTCGGGTCCACTCATGATCAGCGGTGGACCTGAGGTTCCCGCAGCGAAAATGTTTCGCGCTGCGAAACGCGAAAAAGTCGCTTTCTGTCCTAGTGAACCACACCCGGACACTAGCTGGTTCTTTCCGACTCTTGGAGCATTGGACATTGATATTACAAAGCCACTGGTTGGGAGGGGCGAGGCACTAAGACCGTGCCCTGTACGTTTCAGATGTCGGTCAGACTCTGCGATTGCATCGCGCGATGCAGTCGCTCTTGCAATGTGCACAAGCGATTGGCATCGCTCCAAAGTGCGAGCGACGGGAGATTTACCCGAGCGGCGCCGTGTGTATCGGTCGTCGGCGGGGTAAATCTCCCGTCGCTCGCACTTTGGAGCGATGCCAATCGCCCGTCGCTTGTGCACATTGCAAGAGCGACTGCATCGCGCGATGCAATCGCAGAGGAGACTGGGGGGCCTAGCCGATGCAATCGCAGAGTCTGACCGACATCCTCAGCGCACCTTTGCAATTGCTTACTTGGCATTTGCACCTCGCGCCACCAGGCACACGGAGCCTCTCTCGCGTTTTCAAGCTTCATCGCGGTGCTGCATTCCTCAGCATCCATCTCACAAGGATATCTGCAGTTTTTATATGGCACTTTTGCTTTTCTGTCCACTGCGAGTTCCCTTTTATCCTAATGCTCCGAATAAAACAATTACACCAGTTGATTCCATCTCTTGCCTACCACTCGAACACAACAAAATCACTCCCTTGAGGAATTAAAAGACATCTACTCACCCGCATATATCTTTCACTACTAGCTATAAGCCAATATTGTCGGTACGTTTGCCCTAATAAAATAGTACGTGCTTGAAATCGTCGCTTTAAGACTATTGAACATACTAATTGAGTGATCAACTAATATTGTAGAAATAAGCATAACGTTGGAGGAAACAGTGAAAGGAAACGCGTTCTCGCGTTCAAAGCCTAGCGTCAATGTATCCGCAACGAGATCACAAGAGCGTCGTGCAGTATGTAATCATAAGCTCCGTGCTATCAAAAAAGTGAGTACTCCCCAGTTACTCGTTGAAAGTGGTACGAAAAAATTTCTAGGCATGTGCTGTAGTAGACAAAACCGCCACCTCGCTGGCTAGACATGGTACGGATGAAGCAGTGGAACAGTTGGAGGAGATATTACATTGCTTGCAGTTAGCTGCACGATTTGCGCAGCCTTCGTAACCAGTCATCACTGCAGTATATTCTTCAGATTTACAGGAAGCGCGACACTGTAAGACCAATATCCGTTTTGGCCGAGTAATTTGTTAAAAATTCAATATTCCTATTACCTCTCAAGCTGTTGTCCGTTGTCTCTTCTTCCTGTCTATCTGCGTCTTCTTCTGTCATCGTCCCGACTGCTGTCTGTCGTCTGTCTTCTCTGGTTCTGTCTTCCTCGTTCGTTCTGTCACGAAAATTTCCCTAGCTCCTGATCCATCCTGAGAGACCGGGTCAAGTGTGGGATGGGTGGGCAAGGTCTCGCAAAGTGCAAAACACCCATCATGTAAGTGAAGCCCCGCCCACAGTGGGCGTGGCGTGCATCGAATTGAGCGGTACTGGTGACCAACATTTCAAACCAGATACCAAAACAGCCTCAAAAGTGGGTAAAGGTGTGCATTGGTAAGTCAGATCGAATTAGGGAGACCCACCCCGGTGGGCGGGGCGTTCTCCAAAAAAGCAGTGCTTTATGAAAAATTTCATAACTCGGTTGGGAGAAAGCCTACAGAGCAGAAAACAATTGGTGTAGGGGAGCAATGTCTAAGGTGTTCCCAGCATACATGACGTGGGCGGAGGCCCGCCCACAATGGGCGGAGCGTGCTTGAAGTGCACAGCGTTTCCTACAAGGCCCCTTAATTCGAAGAGCGGGAAAAGGTGGATAGAGGTCAGAGAAAGAGAGGAGGTCAAATGCTTAGTGGGCGTCGTCAGCACAAGTAGGCAGGGTTTGCTGGCAAACCCATAACTCGGTTTTAAGAAGTCTCGAAGGCTGGGAAAAACTGGGTAGATGTAGGCGGTAGAAACAAGTTTAACTGCTGTTGGTGGGCGGGGCATGCACCGTAGTGGGCGGGGTTATCCACGAAATCTACGCTTCAAGAGATCATGGAGACCGGGAAAAAAGTGGATAGAGGTTGGCTAAGGGAAGGAAGTCAACCTCTGTTGCTGGGTGGGGCATGCATCAAAGCGGGCGGGGGTTGTTGCCAGACTTCTAACTTGGTTCCAGGATATTCCAGAGCTTGGAAAAAGGTGGGTGGAGGCTGGAAAGGAAATGAATCCAATTGTTTGGGTGGGCCGGGCATGCACCAATGGAGTTTGTTGCCAAGCATATAAATTGCTCAGAAATACTTCAGAGACCGGTTAAAACGTGGGAGAGTTTGGCGAAGAGGGAAAAAGGTGGGTGGGACATGCAACGAAATTGACGGAGTTTACCACGAGCTTTGATCAGTTTGGAGGCAGGGAGAAAAATCCAAGATTTGCACGGAAATATTGCTTGGTTAATGTGTGAGTCGGGCTGTTACCTCGTAGTTTCT